GCACTGGCAGGCCGGGTGGGCGCCAAGTTAACCCCGGCCTGGCCCCACGGCTTCTCCAGCACCAGGTCAACCCGGTTGTAGCCAAGCGGCTCCTGCAGCACCATGTTAACCCGGGCATGCATACCATCTCAACCAGCACCATGTCAACCCCTGCAACGTCACTGGTGTCAAAGGTCACGTGACATTACTTCCTGATATGATACCACTTCCTGTGGTGTCTTTGAATATGGCTTGCCGGCCCACTGGGTGATAAAAAGATAGTGATCCGGCCCCACATTCAAAAAGGTTGGACACCCCTGGTCTAAGGCAAGGGTGGGCAATTACTTTGTGTGGAGGGCCACTTACTGAGTTTTGGCAAGCTGTCTAAGACCACATGGATAGCCCTGCCCCTTGACAGGTGCCCCGCCCCTGGCCGCCATCTTGGGACCAAAAGTCCCACCCCTTGCCCCCAGAAATGCTCCTTTCAGCAAGGGGTTTTGCCATCTTGGAACCAGAAAAATACCAATTTTATTCTAAAAACGAACATCTGCAACATTCATTAATTTGATTTAAAAAAAAAAATTTGTCCTGATTTACATGTGTTTGTGTAGTGTACATAGAGGTGATTGCACAATAGCTTAAAATGAAGTCTTAGTCTTCTATATTGTGGGGGAGGATGGATAGGTGTGGGGTGAGGGAGCATGTGGGTGTGTGGATATATAAGGTGTGGGTGGGTATGGAGTTTGTGGGGGCCCATGTGGGGGGAAGCGTGGCTGGGGTGTGTGTATGTGAGTCTGCATGGATGGCAGTGCAAGGGGGGTGCGGGTGCATGTGTAGGGTGGGGTGTGCTTGTGGTATTCGCCCTATGAACACACACACACACACACACACACACACTGCTTCCCTCACTGATCTCTCTCTCTCTCCCTCATTGCACAGACACACAGACACACACACACACACACACAGCCTCTCCCTCCCTTATTGCACAGACTGACAGATACACACGCAGACACCCACCCCCCTCCCACTTCTGGCCCTGGGGTACTGGCGCAGCCCCGCAGTCGGGTGATGCAGCCGGCTGCCACGTCGTGCTGAAGCAGCCAGCTGCATGCAGCCAAAGCTGCAGCAGGCAGATACAGCTGGTTGGGGGGGCAGGGGGAGGGGCCAAGCTGCCCTTGCTGTTGCATCCTCCTGGCTTCCCCCGGGTCTTACTGCCCCTGGTTCCTGTAATCTTTGACAGGCAGTGAGGAGCAGATAAATATTAATCTTTTAAACCTTTTAGGTGTACCACGGGCCAGACAGAATGGCCTGGTGGGCTGAATCCAGCCTGTGGGCTGTATCTTGCCCACCCCTGATCTAAGGACTTATGCAGGACATAGGCAATTTTACATTCTCACTGACATCCTGTTACACTTTTAGCTTCTCTCATTTCTTGGAGTCTCAGAACAGCAGAAACTCCCTATGCTTGAAGAAGGATGACTATGCCCAAAAGCTTGCTAAGAACTTTTTTCCAACTACTCAGTCGGTCTAATAAAATATATCAAATCTACTCAAAGAACCTTGCTTGCCAGTTCTCTAATGGGAATCTAAGGATGAAGAAAATTCAAGTCCAAGGATGAGGTACAAATGGCAGTGTAAGCATACTTCCAGGAGCAGTTTGAACATTCCTTTACAAAAGGAATAAGAGCCTGAGTCAGATGTTGGCAGAAGAGCATTTACAAGCAAAGGGACCACAAAGAAAGTGATCTAATGATCAATGTACCTAGGCTACAATAAAATGTGCTTTAGCAAGATGCCTTTACTTTTGACTGACCCTTGTAAAGAAAATACTATTTTAAAATCCAATCCAATTCACATTATCCACTAGCCCTTAGTTTAAAAAGGAAGCACTTTTCCTTCTAATTTCCATTTTAGCAGTATTACAATTAAAGAATTAAAAAACAAACAAACCCCCCCCTGTTTGATACAGCTGGTGCTTTCAAACAAACCGAAAATATGCCCTACTGTTGACACCCAAATCCATTCTGATGTATAACAAGAGCTCTCTCAACATTCCAAGCATCCAACTTCTGAAAATTTGGATGTGCATGAATTCAGATATTTGGCCTACGCCAATCTCTAGCTGTAACCTCCTAAAATGATTTGTTCTTAAATAGGAATACGACTAAAGAGTTACATGGCCAAAACATTTTAAGAATTACTATTATTTTAAACTTTTCTTCTAAAGATAGCATAACAATTAGTTTACATTTGTTTGAGGCTTTAAATTGTTGGGTTTTTTATTCAGATTATTGTTCCAAAAATGTGTAATCCTTTTAAGGAACACACACACACACATATATATATACATACATACATACATATACATACACACACACACTAAATGTGGTGGACTCTTCTCTTTATATTTTGAACTGAGAGGTGCTAAATGGTGTTATGTACTGGTTTCTTATTGATTTCTTACTGTGCTTTCTCTGGTTGATATTCTTTCATCAGTCTTCATTGCTGAGAACTGCATATCACTGGGGTCTGATCTCACTGAAGTCTGCAAGAAGGAAATTCCCATTCAGAGATAGATACAGCACTGATTTGTTATGAATTCCAAAGCCTTTTAAAAAGCCAAAGTAGAGATTCATTTTTACTCTCCATCAACAAAGGCCAGGCTGAAGAAATAAGACTTCAGTCTGTCATTTAATGAAGTATCCAATGAGCCTTTGTTACCACTATTTAAAAATAAGTCAGTTCTATAAATTATGTACATATCCAGAAACAGTCTTTGCTCAGTGGGATTCTAATACATGTAAGCAAACACGTACGAAATCTAGAAGATTCTAATGTTCTTGGAGGGAGCAACAGAATCAACTTCAGCATGCAGTCCTCACCCCTGCCCTGGCCTATGCATATGGAGTAAAAGGCCTGAAACAATTTAAAGGTACTTGTGGCAGAGCACCTTTGGTACCTGCCACTTTAAGGTTTGGAGCTGGCAGTAGAACAGCTGACAGGTGTGTGCTAGCTTTGATGAGGTTACCACATGACCCCAGGAGGGCTGTGGGATTGGAGAAGGGGGCAGAGAAACCTCCATTTTAACTCAGGCCCTCAGAGATGGAGCAGCAATCTTTTGTTAGGGACTGGAGAGACAACACTGGCTGAGTGGCTGCTCAGGAACATCTTGGAAGCAAGGGAGGAGATCTGGGGATGGCAGGAGGCTCCTGGTCCTGGGTATGACTAAACTGCGCCCTGCCAAAGATGGGTGGCCTGGTGGGACAGTCCCCCAGAAATGCCAGGCCAGTTACCGCCCTGGTGAAAGGTGAGGAGGGATGCCTGAAAATCCCAGCCCCTGCCTGCGGGTGGGTTATTAACATCAGAGGAGAGTTGAGAGGCAGTGGGGCCAGGCAAGTTCAGTGTGGCCACCTGAGCACAGTGTTAGGGGCCTGGCATGGGGGTAGCCACCTGAGCCCCATAGGGTGAAAGACTCCAGTGGCCACAGTAGGGGGGTGAGAGAGAGAGAGAGGTGGTCCAGTGAGGGGACAGAGTAGGAAGTGACCCAGGAGAGGGGCCAGTGCCTGAGTTCAGCCTTGAGTACAACATAAGGCCATGGGGCATGTAGAGTAAGGCCAGAGAAGGTGGCTCGAAGTGCTGCATGCGCCCTCGGTTAGAGTGCAAATAGGCAAAGCCCAAAGTGCTGCGTAGAGTAGGGCCCAAGGGGGACCTAAAGGGCTGCATAGAGTAAGGCAGGTTAAAAGTGGTCCAGGAGGCGGACAGTACTTCAAAGGCCTGGTGAGAACAGGTGGTGTACAGAGGCCCTTGTCAGCAGGGCCTGCTAATGGGCAGTCTCCCACCTTAGGAACATCTCTAATATTTGTTACCAACAAGGCGTGGCAAGTGAGCTAGGTGGGTGGTTAGCTCAGGGACAGGTAGGCAGCTGACATTCTGACCCAGTCCTGAGATGGCCCTGTCACGGTACTACCTAAAAGCCCTAACCCAGGGAGAGTTCTTTTAGCCAAACACTATAAAAGACTTGCATCAGGCTGCAATCCTAGCTTTTCCTTGCAAATCCTGGTTTAGGGATGGCATGTCAGGGATAGGGCCATACCATGCAGTCTCTGGTAATGCAGCTTAAGTTATGTGTAGGGCCTCATTAGCTCCAGGAGCAGCCAAGGGTCAGGGTGGCAGAAAACACCTAGTTTTCCGGTGCTTTAAGTTCTATACTAGTGATGCTCAACCTTTTCCCCTGATGGGCATTGCCCAGTTCATCCACAGACCAGATGTGGCCGACTGCCCTGATCTGGTGCTTAGGGTGGGCATGGTATGACCTCATCTCGTTGTGTGGAGGGGGTTGGGAGAGGGGAGGAAGCCCAATGCGTGTGTGTGTGGGCAATCCCAAACCAGCCCTGTGTGGGGTGGGAAGGGGGCATGGCCCAGCCCCGATTCATCTCCATGGGAGAATGGGGTGGAGAAGGGAGGCCCGGCCCTAATTTGGCTGTGTTGGGAGTGGGGGCGTGAGAATTAGGCAGTGGGGGAGGGTGGCCACTGTTCCACGTCACCAAGTTTCTCAACCTACAGAGAGCCCACAGGCCAGATGCAATAGCTTGGCAGACTGCATTTGTCCCTGTTTGCAGAGCACTTAGGTGCCCTGCTCCTAAAGAGGGGAAAACTGCCAGGGAAAGAGCCCTAGCAGTGA